AATGAGCATATACTTAAAAAGGCCACATAAGATTAAGAGTATGGTTGAGCTTACTGTTCACCCAGACAACAGTAATGTGGTTTTTATGATATAGGACAATCATATTTTCCAATATAAGATTAAGGAAGACATGTATGAAAAGGTCGACGAGCTTTAAGTATCTATCAATGCAAAGGCCGACTGTCTTCAAGAACATTTAGATGGAAAGTTCAAAAAAATTAAACTAGTGGTAAATACACATGAACGATTTAGTACCTTCCCTCTCATGCATCCTGCATCGCCAACACCGGTTCCTTCACATCCTCCATCTTTTTAGACCTTATATTTAGTTTCTTTCTTTCTTTTATTTATTTTTTATAATGGGCCATGTAATGTACTATTTGTTGGAAAATTAATGGCATCGAGTGCACAGCGAAATTTAAAAAATTTTAATCAACGTCAAAGCCAAATAAGAACATGTTCATGATGCTATATAACATAAATACTAAAGATCTAAAACATACCTTTTGAGATTTCAGGAAACTGCACATCTGACAGATCTAAGCGTTCCAAACAGCAACCGGAAGAGCCTCAACCAACTGGTCTTCTTTGCTATTCTCGTTTCCACAATCGGTGTGCGGGTGGGCACACGTCGTTTAATCTCCTCTAGGTATTCTTGATCTCCTTCCAATCACAAGAGAGCCAAAGAAAAAATTGTTCTTGAGAATTAAACAATTTTTCCTCTCAGGAATCATTTATCAATAGCCTCCAAAAAGTCTCTCAAGTGATCTAATGAGTAATGTGACTTAATAGGCTATTTATAGTGTTTTGGAAGTCATACTTCCGTAACAATTAGGTTTCCTAAAGTTTTAATCGCATCCAGAGTCGATTTTCCCACGTCAGCATGCATTTTACGTTACAACCGGTCGACCGGTGACAAAGACGTTATAACTCACCGGTTGACCTGTCTTCACTAACCGGTCGACCTGTGACCGGTCTACCTAACCGGTCGACCTGTCTGCACTGACGAAAGTTGTTTTTCCTAGTTTTTCAATACGGGAAACTTGCATAAAGCCTCAGTTTTGATTCAAGCAACCCAATAGAGAAATTGCATGATCAAAACAGTCATATAATAGTCTTCCTATATTAAACAACTCTTAAAACAATAATTCAACCAATTTATCTAGAATTAATTTATCAATTAATTCACTCGATAAATCACCCATGAATTAACTTTGAACCCCTTTTTACGGAAATAACACAAGTTACCAATGTGTAGGAAATACACCGTATCGTTACAGGAAATTATGTGAGCTAGCAAAGGGACCCGATGGACATATATAAATCAAGCTCCTATAATCACAACGCTACTTGTAAACCAACAAGTCCGTAGCGATATTTCACTAAAAGCCTAGAGCTGCACTCTCGATTTATATAGCGTATTTACAAAGCTCTGATTAGCTCTAGTCCATGACTCAATATATTAGTGTATCATCCCCATAGGATATCC